CAGATACTGGAGCGACCTGGCCAACACGTACGAGGAGCATCTCAACAAGTATTTCAACTACGACGGCCCGGAGTGGTACGAGCGCAAGGGGCACATGCAAGCCCCCACCTACGCATGGGAGCAGATGAAGCCACCTACAGTGCGTGAGGCAGCGCGAGAGCAGCAGTGGGCGAAGGCAGCAGAATGGCTAGGGCGCAGACTCGAACTCACCTGCTCCGCGGCGAGAGCATGGAGGCGCAACGGCAAGCAGGAGACGCTGAGCTGGGCGCAATGCAACGCCAAGGGCATCCTCGAGAAGGGCATCATCGAGCCGCTCCACGAGCGGCGCCGCCCAGCATGGGGCGGCGAGGCCGACCAGGAGGGCGCCGCGGAGGGGCGCGTCAACGCGGGCAACATCGACGGCGACGTCGACGCCGACACGGAGGGCGAGCGCGACAGCGTCGGCACCGAGGACAACGCCGACGACCTGGACGAGATCAACGAAGCAGCGCGCCGAGTCGAGGTGGACGGGCTGAGCCCCCCAGAGTTCACTCCTCGGCACCGCGCTGTCCTCGGCCCTGGGGCCTTGCAGGATTGCCCGCTGGTCGGGGCGGAAGCGGCGGGAGAGCGCCGCCTACCGACGTGGACGGGGGCGCTGGACATCGATTGGGGCAAGCTGGCGAACGCCATCGCTTGGATCGACACGACGAACATGTCCGAGCGGCGCCTGCTATGCGTGGAGTGCGCGGCCAAGCACGCGACGGTCGCACGCCAGCGCACGCGGGGGCGAGTGCGGCGCAACGCAGCAAGAGGTTGGAGGCGATGGGTGGCCAAGCGCAGCCAGGCGGTAGCAGGTGCGCTACGCAAGTGGACCAAGCCGCCAGTGCCATGGGAGCCCATCAAGCCGACTGAGAATTACAGCCAGCAGGAGCTCACGCATCCGCAGGTGGCAGCAGGCGCAGCGCTGGGGGGCTGGGAGACGGCATGGGCGGACAGCTACGACGACAGCGAACCGTGGTGCCAGCCCCCTGGCGGCAACGAATGGAGAGAGTATGCAGCCCCACGAATCACACCGAGGGGCGTCATCGAGGCGCGCGGGCGCTTCCGCGCCAAGACTGGCATTGGAGAGGCGGACTGGCACCCGCGCCTCTGGCGCCATGGTGGGTCCCAGGGAGCGTCGCGCGTGGCAGGCGTGCTTAGCGCGGTGGAGCGGGGAGCGCCGTGGCCTACGAAACAGGCCACCACCCCCTTCTACCTGACCCTGAAGGCAGCAGGAGGCCCCCGCCACCTGGGCCTCTCCCAGAGCTGGCGCGCGCGCGGGGGGGCCATCCGCATGCCGTGCGCCAGGCGCTGGGAGGCGGCCAACCAGAGAGCTCGACGCGGGAGATCATCGGAGCGTGCGGCGTGGCTGCAGGCCCTCTACGGGGAGGCCGCGCGCGCCGAAGGACACGAGTCTGCAGTGACCTACTTCGACCTAGTCAGGTGCTTCGAGTGGATCATCGCATCGCACAGTATCACGTGCTTCAAGTGCGTCGCAAGGTATGGGAGGCGTCGCAGCGCTAGAGATTCAACCCAGTCACCACGCGCACAGCACTCAAGAGATACGGCATGGTGCGGCGCATCGTCCTGGACGGGCGCTACACCGAAGGCAGGGCGTGGCAGCGCGGCGTCGCCGCGGGCAGCAGGTTTGCGCCCTTTTGCTTCAAGATGGTGATCATCCTAGAGCTGGACGAGCTCGTGTACCAGTTCCCGTGGGCGGACACGCGCTTGTTCTTCGACGTCCTCGCCATGGCCACGCGCGGCATCAGCGAGTTCGTCCACCACTTCCACCCGCAGGTCGTGGCGACCGTGGCACACATGCTCGAGGCGAAGCTAGATATGGCAGTCTCGAGGGGCGCGGAGGGGAAGACGGTCACCCTGACATCCTCCACCGCGCCGGGCAAGCACATCAGCGCGTGCACCAGGCATCTCGGCGTGAGAGTAGCGAAGCACGAGAATCACCTGGGAGTCACAGGTACGGCATGCAGACGCAGGAGAGCAGCCGCGATCAACGAGCGGGCGCTCAAGTTTGCAGCGAGGAAGCCACGGGCGGCAGCCGCGCGGGGAGCAGGAGGGGCGGCGCGCAAGCTGATCAGGGAAGCCAAGGTGCCAGCGCTCCTCTACGGTTCAAGCATCGTTGGCATGGCGGGCTCCAACGGCTCCAAGCTCAATGAGTTGTGGAAGAACGTGGCGACGGCGATGGAGGGCAACACCAAGGGCAGGTCCACTGCACCCACCCTCCTCAGCGACAAGATCGACCCAGGCAACCTGGTCAACAGCGGCCCCATCATTGCCTGGGCCACGGCGTGGCAGGAGGCGCTAGACGACGCGGAGCTGGCCAAGCGGTTCCACAGCGCACGGCGCACCTGGGTGATGCAGACCTACAAGTGCAAGGCCCCCTGGCTCACAGTTCGGGGACCGGCGGGAGCGTTCGCGGCGACGGTGAAGCGACTCGGCTGGGCGACACAGGCCGCGCATTCAACCGCAATCGACGGCGCAGAGTTCGACCTGCGCTTTACCATGCTGCAGGAGATCCAGCACCATGTCATCTGCACTACGGAGCAGCAGCTGAAGGACGAGTGGGTGGAGCAGTTTGGCCAACAGTACGGCATCACCTCCATCTTCGTCGAGCCAGCTCAAGCACTACTACGAAGGCCCCTCAAGAGGCGATGGACGCGGGCACATCGCACGCGGGTCCGAGGCCTCTTCTGCGCGGGCACATGGCCGCAGGCGAGGCTGCACGCTAAGGGCGTGGCGACAGACAGCACATGCAGAGCGCGCGGGCGGGGCCACGGTACTGACCGACATCGCACGTTCGTGTGCCCTGCGCGCCAGCAGCACCGCAGTGTGATTGGAGGCCTACACAAACACCAGCGAGGTGACAACCCATGGCCAGGCCCAGGAGCTGAAGGGGCCATGGGGGCGAGGCAGCATGGCGGACCCCGCCGTCGAGCTCAGGCTTTGGGACCTGGAGTCGTGCGACGACTGGCTCACCGAGGGCAACTGGGACGGCCTGGCGACGGGGGGCGTCTACGTAGACGGCTCGTTGCAGCACGGGGACTACCCAGCGCTGCGACGAGGAGGCTGGAGCTTCACCAAGCTCAAAGACAACGACGAGCACGAGATGGAGTATGTGTGCTACGGGCCGCTTCCAGGAGCGCAGTGGACAGAGTATCTTGCGGGCTGAGCTCTACGCGGTGCTGCAGGCGCTGACGGTGGGCGCACCGCCAATGAGAATTCACACAGACTGCCAGAACGTCGTGGACTGAGTGCAGGCTGGACCGACGTGGCTCAACAAGAGGAGCCGCCCGCACCTGGACATCTGGGAGCGGATCGCCCAGGCCATCGCCACGGCGGCCTGAGCCAGCACACGGTCATGGTGTGCAAAGTGAAAGCCCACGCGTCGCGGTCAGAGCGCGATGCGATCGGGCGAGTTGGGTGGAAAGGAAACAAGTTAGCTGGCAGTTATGCAAAGCAGGGGGCCTTGTATCATGCCCACCCCGCTTGGTGCCGTGAACCATACGTACAGAAATATCAGTTAGTTCGCGACATCCTGGAATTCGGAGCTTGTATAGGAGTCCTAGGCAGAGATACTATCGACACTGAGCTGGGATCGAGCCCGGCGGATTCGAACCCCCCCGACCCCCCATTCGGACCCTCTGGACACTTCCAGGGACCCAGGGGCGGTCGTGGGCGAAAGGGGGGGGGGGGCTGGAGGCCCCCGATCCCCCTGCCTCGCCCCTGGCTGCCACTCTCCCGCGGGCCGCTCTGGACTGGGGGGGTCAGGGTCGATAGACCACAGAAGGTGGGACACAAACTCGTGGACCGCCAGACCCACATTTTCTGCCGCAGGTGCGCCAGGTACGCCACTGGAGAAAAGTGGACGGGCCTTTTCGCCCCATGTCGCCCTGGGGCCCAAAGGGTGAACGGGGGTAGGCTGAACCGATTGTGGAATGGGTTACACCCCACCACCAACCAGCCCCTTTAGGGGCTCCCTGGGGGTTTTGGCTCGGCTCGGGGTCGGCCCGAAGCGGCCCGAATCTCCCACGGCGCGAAAGCATAGGCCGTCGCGATCCTTTTTTTGGCCCATAGAATCCCATAGAATCCTCCTCCTGCCCACCATGTCTGGCCCAGGATCGGTGCATACTCCGTCTTGACTGGGCCAGGAAGACGTAGGGCTGTCGGTGTCTAGTTGTCGTCGTCCTACACTTCCTCTTGTGGAAGACGCAGTTGTGGCTTCGATGGGAACCCAGATCTCCAGTATCTGGATTCCCTCTGCACGGACTCCCGAGGAGTTGTGTATCCGTTTCCCGTGGATGGTTCGATGTTTGTTCACGGCATTTGGGGCCGTCAACTGTCAAGCACATCCGTTGTGATGTTATCAACATTTTGAATGTATGCGAGTCTGGAAATCCGCCACGCGCACGGGGTGGAATTGATCAAATACTGCATCTATATGGTGATATGTTGGCATCGGAAGCCCACTGGCGAACGCAAGCTTCGCACCATAACTGCATATATAACATCTTATCGACCTTGACTTGTCTGCCAGTTTGTGTTTGTAGTGGATGAACGTTGTCTCTTGCATCACACCGTCAAGACGCTGAGTCAAGGAGCTCTGCGGGTTCGCATGGGTCTTCGCAAGGGCTCGCTGCTCCTCATCGGTTTTTCCATCGTTGTTTCTTCATCGCTGCGCGTGAACCCAAGGCGCCCTTCGGGCCAGAAAGGGCCTCGCTCCTTATTTGGAGTTCCTTGTGGTAGCAATGACGTATTCAGCAGACTCGATCATATTGTTCGTTCGGAAGACGCCCGGCTGTCGCCGGAAGTCTGTTGAGCTCTTCGCCCCCGGGTCACTTTTATGTGGCCCTATGCGCCTGTGTCTTCATTCCATATGTTTCATGTTTGTAACAAAGAACAGGGCCTCAAAGCAACTAATTGTTTAAACAGTTAGCAGCTTGATGATCAGAAGACAGACTCTCCAGTCAACGGCGGGGGCCTCCCGATGGCGCTGCTGCAGGTCGTGGGGGGGAAGCCCGCCGCGGGCATGCCGGAGGTCGTGCAGGCGTGCTCCTACGCGTACACCAGCATCGGCCCTGCACCAGGAGGGTTTTTGTTCGGCGGCGGGCCCGTTGGGGGGAAGTGAGAGATGTTGGGTCTTCTCAGAAGGCTCGGGAGTCCCCAGGCCTTTTGAGAAGTTTCCTTTGCCTTCCCCGCAGACTCAGAGAACGAATGACAAGGCAGGAAGACTTCTGAGAAGTCCAGCTGCCTTCTGAGAGGGCCTTCTCCTTCTCACTTCCCCCCTTCGCTCGCTGCCGATTCTGGTGTCGAGAATTCGGGAGCAGGAGGAACAATGTAACAATGCCGAGTTGTGTCTCCTCTATGTCCGAGACTGTGCTGTGCCGACTGGCAGCAGGATATGGCGGCCTTGCTTCATCCCGAGCCCCCGCGTCAGGCCTCTTGTCTTGTACAGTCAACGCGTCTACTAAGGACGCGCGCTTTCATCTAGGGTGCCCTTGTGTCCTTGCCTCTGCGGCGCGTCCTATGCCGTGTTCACTGGCCACCCGCCGCCCAACAAGTCCCAATTTCTGCCTCCAAGGGTCTTCCGTCCTTACCACGCGTCCTTAGTACACGTTCTGATTGCAATAACCTCCATCGCCGTAGTCGTCTTCGTTGTGGTCTTCCTTCCCAAGGATGGGCAGGGACTCGCGTAACTCCCAGAACGCAGGAAACATGCCCTCCAGACCTGAGCCCTTGGCTGGACTGCTTATAGCCTCGACCAGAACGTAGCATCAAAGGTCCCGGGCACGTGATCCTGGAAGGTCAGGGGACGAGGGGCTGCGCATTGAACAGATGATCTCGTCGGATGTCCCTGGGCGACGACGGCGGTGGCCACGGCGGCGAGGGAAAGCAACGCGCCCGGCTGCCAGAACGGCGGAGCGCGTGGCTGTCGACCCCCGAGCCGAGACACGAGATCGTGCCGAAGATCGGGGACTGGATGTGCCCGGGGTGCGGCGACCTGCAGTTCAAGAGGAGCTCTCAGGAGCAGGGCTGGACCTAAACGGTGTTGTGGGAGAGTTCCTGGGCCATGTTCGTTTCGACCTCGCTTCGCGGTTACAGGCGGGTGCGAGGCAACAGCGAGGGGAAACGACAACAACACGAAAGCGAACAACACCGTTTAGGTCCTGCCCTGCTCGGGAGCAAAGTCTGGCGGGGACCGGCCAGAAGGGGGGGGGGGGCACCGACACCGCACCGTCCACTCCTCGCCGCTAAAAGGGGCCTGCACCTGCCCGGGAGCTCGCGGTTTCGCCCTCGAGGGCGCGTCGCCGATCTCTCGGCGAGGCATCGCCGATGCCTTCCCCGAGGGGCTCGGCCCCCCCGAGGAAAACTGGCGACCCCTTAGAGTGACCTTTCGCCACTGTGAGCCTTGGTGAGGGCGGGGCTGGGACGAGGACACATGCGCTCCAGAGCGTTCTGGAACGCCCCCAGAGCGTTCCGCAACGCTCTGAGAAGGCCGCGGAGCCCGAGGCACCCTCCAGAGCCGCTGGATCGCCAAGAGCCTCGACTTTATCCTCAACCCGACGTGATCCTCGTCCTGGCTTCGTCCTGTTGGTGCGGGCCCACGGGGGTGGCCCCAGCACTGGCCCGAGGGGCCTGCGCACCTGCAGCTGGCCCCCCCGCGCGGGTCCCCGAGCGGTCTGCGCGCCGAGGGCCACTCCTGTCCAGGGCCACTCCTCCCCCTCCTCCTTCTCCTCCTCCTCCTCCTCCTCCTCTTCCTCCTCCTCCTCCTCCTCCTCCTCCATTCCTTTTCCTTCTAGGTAACTCCTCCCTGTCGCACCCCGAGGCCCGTTTTTTTAGGGCGGGCCGGGCGTTTCGCCTGAGACTTCCTCACCACTTATGCTTCTGAAGCTTATATATAAAGTGACAGTAGTTTCACAGATGGAGGGCGGGCCGCTTTCAAAATGTGGCTCTCGCCCCAGCGCCGCGCACCTTCGTTTTAGACATTTGCCAGAGCTTCACGGATTGAGGGCGGGTGGTTTTAAAGTGTGGCTCTCGCCTTAGCGCCGCGCGCATTCGTCTTAACAATTTGCAAGAGCTTCACGGATTGAGGGTTCGTTCCTTTTCAAAATGTGGTTCTCGCTCTAGCGCCGCGCACATTCGTTTGAAACAGTTTCAAGAGCTTCCCGGATTCAGGGCGGGTAGTTTTGAAAATGTGGTTCTCGCCTTGGCGCCGCGCAGATTCGTTTTAACACATTGCAAGAGCTTCACGGATTGAGGGTTCGCTCCTTTTTCAAAATGTGGTTCTCTTTTTCGCGCCGCGCTCATTCGTTTTCAATATTGCAAGCTTTTCTCCGATTTCCACCATCAACGTACCAGAAATGGCGTTTTGGAAGGATTCAGGACTCTGAGGGCGCAGCAGTTATGTTGATTCGCTGTGGTGAAGTCTCCAAAATTGCGTTCTGGCACGATGCTGATACGTGGCGTTGAAATTCCGAGAACGATATTTGGGCACGCTTCAGGATCTTCAAACTGTTGTCTTCCAACGAGGCAGTCCTTCAATGGAAATGAGCCGTTGTAGGGGCCTATAGACCAGGGAGCATGGAGGGAGGGTTAATTCCAACATCGTTGATGACTCTTGGGTTTCCACTGGTTTTCGCCCTCCTCCTCCTCCTCCTCCTCCTCCTCCTCCTCATCTTGTGTGTGGGCGCGGGGAGGGAAAGACGCACAAACCTCAGCTTCAGGAGGCCCGCGCAGATCTCCAGGGTCCCTGGCCCGAAGAAGGAAACACTGGCCGCGCGCAGAGGAGGCTACGGGGGGGGGGGGGGAAAGGCTTCTCGGAAGCACCCCTGCTTCGTAGAAGGCGCGGGCCTCGTCAATACATGTATATAACGTGCGGCTTCTAAAAAGCAGCCTCCCTCTGAGACGCCTTCCCCCTCTCCCTACCCCCCTCTGCGCGCCGCCCCAAAAAACACCCGGACCTGACAACTGACGTTTCCTGAGCGGCCCTGGGCGTTTACGAAACGGCACTGCCCTGTTCGACTCCTTCCACGTGGGTGCGTTGGCGAAACGGCTTCGCTTGTCGTTGGCGCGGAGGGAGCAGGAGGATGAAGAGGAGGAGGAGGGAACAGAGGGACCAGGGAGAAGGAGGGAGAAGGAGGAGAAGGAGGAGGAGGAGGAGAAAGAGGAGGACGCAGGAGGAGGAGGAGGAGGAGGAGGAGGAGGAGGAGGAGGAGAAGGAGGCTTATGGGGGGTGGATTTTCTGCCCTCCCTTGGCGGCCATTCCGGCGCCGCCCACGGCGCCCCCCCGCGCGCCGGGGGGGCCGCCAGGAAGGAGGCGGAGTCTGAGGGCAGCGGGTCCTACAGTGGAGACCCTCCTCCTCCTCCTCCTCCTCCTCCTCCTCCTCCTCCTCCTCCTCCTCCTCCTCCTCCTCCATCCCTTCCCTCATGAACCTCCCTCCCACAGACCCCCATCGCGCGCCCCGTGCCATGGGGCAACCTGGCCGCCATTGGCGCTCGGGTGTCTTCGCTACAGTGGAGACCCATGCCAAGAACCACACTGCCCGCCTCCAAGGGTGCCCTGGGTTTCTTGGGTTGCGAGGGTTCTTGCGATGAGAAAGCGTGACGCCCCCACGCCAAAGCTCAGTGGACGTCCTGGGGTCGCGGGTTTGGGGTTCTCTTGTGGAAGGTTTCTTGTGGATTGGCTTCTCGCCGGCCTGTGCCTCCCACCCTCCAAGAGGGCGCCGGGACTGTCAGAAACGACTCGAGAGGAAGAGCTGAGCTCGGGAGCCTTGGCATCGCTCGGACGTGTGCAGTTTGTCTCGGCGAAGACCCCCGAGGAACATCTGGGATGCTGTTGGGGAACAAAAAGGACAGCGCACGACGTCGGAGCGTGCACGGGGAGGGCACGCCCGAGCGATGGCAAGGAGAAGGCCCCAGGGCCCATCGGGCCGGACGAAAGGGGGGGATTGGGAAAGGGGGGGATTACGAAATCTGCTGCATGCAGCTGGTTTCGGCCTCACCGAGGGGCCCATTCCTCGATACATATAGCCGCCTCTGGCGCCGGGAGGCGCCGGGAAAATCAGCCACGTGAGCTGATTCTCGAACCCCCCCTTTGCTATCCCCCCCTTTCGCCCGACCCGGGTCCAGGGCCAGCTCCCCTCAGGAGGCCCGCGCCCGTTCGCTTCAAAAGGGAAAGGGTCAGGAGGGGAAGAAACACACAGACACAATTAATCCTCGATTTCCCAGAAAATATGGGAAAATATGGGAAGTGGTGGGGAAGACAAAAACCGAGAAAATATGGGGAAATATGGGGAATCGTTTTATTTGTGTGTATTTATTTGTGTGTCCCAGGGCCCCTTCATGCTGCTCGGACGACGACGACGCCGACGCCGCCGCCGCCGCCGACGACGACGACGACCTTGACGAACTTGCTGCTGCCTGCTGCTCCCCGAGGAACGTGTACTGCCGAAAGTGCGGGGCACAGAAGCCGGAGATCGTCCGGCCGTTTCGCTTTTTTTTTTGGGGGGGGAAGGGAGGGCCGGTGCCCCGGTCTCAGCTCGCCGCTTCCTCTGTTTCTTGCCGAGGGCTGCTGCCACGCGCACTGCACCTGCCCCCCGCTCCACAATTTCGCCCCCCCCCTCTCTCCCTCTCTCCCTCTGTTGCGCTATCCCCCCTCTCTCTCGTTTTCTCTCTCTCTCTCTCTTTCTCTCTTTCTCTCTCTCTCTCTCTCTGTACGTCTCTCTCTCTCTCTCTCATTGTTTATATTTTTCCTCTCTGTGTACAAATACGTACAGGCGGTTCAGTTCCTATGATTCGAAAGTTCTTTGATTGTTTGGGGGCCAAGATCCTTTAATGTGTAATTATTATATCCTGGGCCTCTTCCTAGCCACTACGGGGCCAGGAACAATTTGAAACGAGCACACTTAATTAATAATGAGCACGATTAGAAATGGACAAAGTGTGTATATATACAGATTTACAGATCTATGCCTCTGTCTATGTCCCTATCCCTGTCGTTTGTCTATGTCTTTTTGTTTTCTCTCTCTCTCTCTCCCTCTCTCCCTTGTCATAAATATTTGTCTATTTCTATACTTCTCTCTATGTCTCTATCCTTCTCACTGTGTGTCTCTCTCTCTCTCTCTCTTTCCAGCACTGGCTCTCTTTCTATCTCTCTTTTGTCTGTCTCTCTCGTTGCGCCTCGGGTGTGGACAGCATCCGCGGCGTCGATGGGCGCACCTCGATGTCATTGCCGCCACGGTTCGATGCGCCCCGCGATCGATTGGTAGCTCCCCCAAAGCGGTCATTCGAAAGCCGTGGCAGTGTCGCCGCTCTGGTTCGCCGAGCCGCGCACGCGACGGGTTCCCGAGGAACTTGCCTGGGCAGCCCACTCCCTCCTTTCGGTGGGCGGACTGAGTGTCAACACGTGTCTCGCCAAGACTTTTCGTCATCAAAGCACGTCTGACCGAAATGCATACCCCCCTCTCCCCATGACGGGGTTCAGAGGCAGGCCAAAGGCCAGGGACAAAATGTGGACACTTCAACTTTGGGTTTGGGGGCAGGGGTTCGAAGCAAGGGCACGGCGCAAATGTGGTTGTTATAATGCTGCATCGCCTTACCACAATCGGTATGGACACTTTTTGTCCGGGCACCGTTCCTCCGCAGACCCACTCGCGTCGTGAAAACACACGACGGATGATGGTTGGCAGGTTTCTGCCACTTGAAGCTCTCAACGGGCCTCGGGACCGTTCAAAATCGACTCCCGGGTTAAAGAGCTGGTCCCGGTCCCGCGAAATGGGTCCAGACTTTTGGAGCTCGGGGGTCTGGCTTCTCCTCCTTCCCCACGAAGGGGTGTGGATTGGGGAAGCGGGGGGGTGCGAAATCTACTGCGTGCAGTTGTCTTCTGCCCCGACGCGTGACATTTCCCGCACATGATGCAGTGTCGCCCATGGCACATGGCGCCAGGAAGCGCCAGAGAAGCCAACTGCATGAGCTCGCCGTGAACGGCAGGGGTCCTGAGGAAAGCGCGTCCTGCACGCGGGGCCTTCCCAGAACACGCCTGTCTCGTCCAGGCCCCGAGCGCGGGGTCGAGCTTCCGGGCCTCCCAGATGGGGTCGGAGTAGATGGGGTCGGAGGATCGCGCCGCATCGCCGATGCATCGCCGCTGTGGCTCGATGTTGAGCCCGATTTGCTTCGCGTCGACGTCGCCGATGCATCGCTGATGTCGACGTTGCACCCCCGCTGCATCGCCGACATGCATCGGCGATGCGGCGCGATCCTGTGACCCCGTCTGCTCCGACCCCATCTAAGAGGCCTCTGTCGATGTTTTAGGCCCCCATGCTTCCTCCTCCTCCTCCTCCGCCCTCCTCCTCCTCCTCCTCCTCCTCCTCCTCCTCCTCCTCCTCCCTTCCGCCTCCGCCTCCTCCTCCTCCTCCTCCTCCTCCTCCTCCTCCTCCTCCCTCCCCCCCGAATCCAGGGCCTGCATCCTTCATGCGAGATCGGCGCGTCTCGCCCTCGGCGGAAGCCGGCGGAGGTCGGCGGTCCACGTGTCTGGGATCAGGGGCTCCTCCCCCCGGCCCTCTGCACGGCCTCCCTGGTCTTCTAGGCCTCCTAGATGGGGTCGGAGTAGATGGGGTCGGAGGATCGCGCCGCATCGCCGATACATCGGGGATGCGGCTCGATGTGCAGCCCGATTTGCTTCACGTCGACGTCGACGATGCACCGCCGACGTCGCCGGTGCATCGCCTGTGCATCGCCGATGCATCGCCGATGCATCGCCGATGCATCGGCGATGCGGTGTGATCCTTCGACCCCATCTACTCCGACCCCATCTAGGAGGCCTCTAGGTCTTGAGTCGGGCGCGTCCCTCTTCAGGAGGAATACTAAGAATCGTAAAAGCAGATCTGGGAACAATGTGTTGTTCTTATGTCTGAACGTTTGGGTGCATTTCTTGACTACTCTGAACTTGTCGTTCAAAATCCGCTTGTAGAGGGACGTGCCCGACCTAACCCTAGCCCTTTCCCTCTTCGTTCACGCCAGCAAATTCGCCACTCGCCATTGCACGCCACCCGCTGGAGCAGCTTCTCTGTTTCGCCGCGGACGGAGAAAAAACGTGTGGTTTCAGTCCCAGAGTCGCCCGCCCCCCCATATCTGGGCGTAGATGTTTTTCGGCCGGGTTGGATTTCGCCTGGTGCGTTTCGCCCCGTTCGTTTCGCCCGGGTTGGCTTTCGCCCGGGTTGGCTTTCGCCCGGGTTGGTTTTCGCCCGGGTTGGCTTTCGCCCAGGTTGGCTTTCGCCCGGTTGGCTTTAGCCCGGGTTGGCTTTCGCCAGGGTTGGCTTTCGCTCAAGTTGGCTTTCGCCGGGGTTGGTTTTCGCCCGGGTTGGCTGTCGCCTGGGCTCGTTTTCGCTTGGGTTCCCGCGTTCATCAGGAGCGCGGGCGACGGGCATTGATCCCAGAAGAGGGCCGCGGGCCGGAGGAGGACAGGAAAGGCAAGACCGCGAGGGGAAGTGAGGAGGGCGACCAGGAGGGGAACGGGAGGACGGGGAGTCGTCGTCGTAGTAGTCGTCGTCCTCCTCGTTGTCGTAGTCGTCGTCGTCGTCGTCGTCGTCGTCGTCGTCGTCGTCGTCGTCGTCGTCGTCGTTGCGTTATTGTCGTGGTGGTGGTCGTCGTCGTCGTTGTCTTAGCCGTAGACGTCGTCGCCGTACTCGCCGTTGTCGATGTCGTCGTCGTCCACCTGGTCGCCGTCGTTGCCGTCGTCCACGTCGTGGTCGTTGTCGTCGTAGTGGTACCGCCCGTCAGGGTCCGCCCGCCCGACCCGACACGCCCGTTAGGGTTCGCGCGTGCTGAGTCGAGCGCGCCCCACACTTCAGTGCCCCGCCCGCCCGACCCGTCCCGCCCGTCAGGGCCCGCCCGACCCGACCCGACCAGTCCCGCCCGTTAGGGTCCGCCAGCCCGACCAGACCCGCCCGTTAGGGTTCACGCGCGCTCACTCGAGCGCGCCCCACACTTTGGTGTCCCGCCCGCCAGACGCCAACCCGCCCGTTAGGGTCCGCCCAACCCGACCCGACCCATCCCGCCCGTCAGGGTCCGCCCGACCCACCCCTTGAAGTTCACGCGTGCTCGCTCCGGCGTGCCCCACACTTCAGTGCCCCGCCTGCCCGACCCGACCCAAGTGTTAGGGTCCGCCCGACACCAACCGACCCGTCCCGCCCGCTAGGGTCCGCCCGCCAGGCCAGACCCGCCCGTTAGGGCTCACGCGTGCTCACTCGAGCGCGCCCCACACTTTGGTGTCCCGCCCGCCCGACCCGTCCCGCCTGTTAGGGTCCGCCCGACCCGACCCGACCCGCCCGTTAAAGTTCACGCGTTCTCGTTGCGGCGCGCCCCACACTTCAGTGCCCCCGCCCGTCCGACCCGACCCGCCCGTCAGGGTCCGCCCGACCCGACCCGACCCGTCCCGCCCCTCAGGGTCCGCCTGCCCCACCCGACCCGCCCCTTCGGGTTTACACGTGTCGCTCGGGCGTGACCCACACTTCAGTGCCCCCGCCCGCCCGACCCGACCCGCCCGTTAGGGTCCGCGCGGCACGACCCGACCCGTCCCGCCCGTTAGGGTCCGCCCGCTCGACCAGACCCGCCCGGTAGGGTACACGCGTGGGCCCACGCGTGCTCAATCGAGCGCGCCCCCATTTTTTAGTGTCTCGCCCGCCCCGACCCGCCCATTTGGGTGCCCGAATTTGTTTACGCCAGCGGCTCTCTCGTGTCCGCAGTCGTTCCCAACGACAGGTTTTTATCCTGGCGCGTCCTAGGGCCGTCCGGGTCCCCCTGCGGCCGACCCCGGCCCACAAAATTCACCGTTTTGTTTTTCCCGGGCGTCGGAGGTCTCGGCGCGCCCCCTTCCGCCACAGCTTCCAGTACCACCGCCAATGCCCCCACCAGCTGCGACCGCCACCACGACCGCCGGCCGCCTCTGGGGGGCGAAGAGAAACAGTGCTCAGAGGGGTCAGGAGACATAGATACCCCATCACCCATTCATCGCCGATTGGAGCCAGAGCGCCCCGCCCTGCCCAGGAACGCGCGGCTTCCCTGTCTGGGGGCTTCTCGCCAACCTGTCGGCGATGTGTCAACTATTCTAAAGCATCCGGCACCTTCCTGAGCCCCCCCCACGTCTCTTCACCCCTTTCGCATGGGCAAGCGGCGCGCCTCAAGGGCTCCCGGGGGTCACGACGGCGGCGGCGACGGCCACGCCAGCGGCGACGGCGCCTACTCCCCGCCCGGCCCCGGCGAAAGCCAACCCCGTCGAAAGCCAACCCCGGTGAAAGCCAACCCCGGCGAAAGCCAACCCTGGCGAAAGCCAACCCCGGCGAAAGCCAACCCCGGCGAAAGCCAACCCCTGGCGAAAGCCAACCCCGGCGAAAGCCAACCCGGGCGACAGCAAATCCCCGCGAAGAAACGAAGCCCGGCGAAACGAAGCCCGGCGAAAGCCAACCCCGGCGAAAAGCAACCGTGCCCTTTTTCTGCCCCCCCCTTTGTCCAGCGCTCCCGCGCGCCTGGGGGCTGACGTCACCAAGGAGAGGGCAGAAAAGTGGACGACGACTCCCTGCAACGAAGCACTTGGGCCCGCGTGGCGCCCCTCCCTCCAGGAGGGCTAAAAAAAAGCACGCGACTAAAAAACCTATCCCAGAGCTATTCTACGTCTTGGTTTTAGGCTGTTTCGTCTCGTTGTTTTAGGTTTTTAGGTCTCCAGTGCTAAAAGATAGCTCTCTGGAAGGTCAGGGATTGCAGTACCGCCCACCCTCGCCAGCATCGCTGCAGGGTCTGTTATGTTTTTCACATGTGTAGCTATATACATATACTGTGTGTGCGTATGTGTGTGCGTGTAAGCAGAGAGGCCCGTGCATGGTGCCTTCCCCAGCGCAGCACTCGACGAACCAGCAGAGAACCGAGCACGGCCTGCCGTGGCGTCCCTCTGTCTGCGTGCCAGCCTGTGCAGAGGCCTCTCGGGGCTGCGGGGTGAAGCCCTGGGTGGGGTCACGTGCCCCCTCTCTCGCGTTGCCGTTCCCGCCGCCGCGCCCCCTCCAAGCCGCAGCACCCCCCCCGCAGCGCAGGTCGAGGACGTCTTCGCGGAGCACGCCAAGACGCAGCCACTGGATCCGGCCCCCGCCCTCTGGAGAGGGAGGCCAGAGGTACTGGGTGCTGCCAGAGGTACCCCTGGCCCAGGGTACCTCCAGGATTCTCGGGGTGGCCCGGGCGGCCTCCAGAGCACCCCTCGCGAGGCCCAGAGGGCCCCAGGGGCTCCAGATGGAGCGGAAAGCTGGGGGCACCCTGGGCCAGGGGCACTTCTGGCAACACCCGAGATGTGGGGAAGGGGGCAGGGCAGGAGCAAACACAGAGCAGCACTGCCGCCCTTGAGCCCGCAAGGGCGTGTCCTGGCGGCCCCACGGCGGACAAACGAGCACGCACCTCTACGGCAGGTTCGCGGCGCATGGACCGGCGGCAACCCCAGCGCGGGCGTTTCAGGTTGAACGCCGCCTGTGGCCCAGAATCGGCCCATACTTGAACGATCCGGCTTTTGTGGAAGGGCCCATTGTTCGAGTTTGAACGATCCCCGCGGTGTCAGGAGCCAACGCCGGGGTCGACACGATGCAGACTCGCCGTGCGAATCTGCAGCGGTTCTCGTCGCCGAACAGTTTGGCCCTCCTTGGGAGGCCGCTCCGGGCCGTTCTGTGGGGCAATCCTTGGCGATCTTGGGCCGCGGGTCCTGGGCAGGGTGTTCGACCACGCCCAGGAGATGCGACCGCGCTCTGGATCTCCCGTGGCCCTCGCGTCCACCTCCCCCATCGAGCGGCAGGCCGCTAATGGAGGATGACGATTAATAAATGACCGGGGGTCGTGTTCACGCGGCGGCGCCTGGGATGACGGTTAGAAAAAACCGGCCGCGGGCTGGACAACTATTTTTTTATCGTTCTCCTCCAGTCAGAAACTTGTGCAGAAATAACAGAAAACTATGTTTTATCGTTCTCTCCCATTGTTTGATTAATCGTCATCCCGCATCATGAGGGTTTTGGGGAGGGACATCGACGCTAGGACGACGTGCTCGACTCGGATCACGAGGAAAACCCCGAGGGCGACCAGGGGAGGGGAGCGCCCGCCGACGCGGAAGCCGCCGCGGAGGGCACCGCTCACGCAAAGCACCCAGAAGGGGGCCTTTCCTTGGCATCGCTCCGACGTGTGCATTGTCCTAGGGGGCGACGGCCACGGCCATCGAGGAGCATCCTGGATCATCGAACCCCAAAAGGGCACGCGCAAAGTCGAAGCATGCACGGGGAATGGGCGTCGGAGCGAGGCCGAGCTGATCTGGAGAGCCTCCAAGCCTATGCTTCATGTTTTTTTGTTCTTGAGAAGGAGATCGAGAACATAATATATAGGCTCAACAAATGGTTCTTTCGTTTGTTTGAAAGAAAAACTCAGGATGCTCCGTCGATGTACGGAGCATTCTGCGCAGTTGCCTCGCAGATAACAGCAGAAGCTGCAGCGGGGAAGCACGAGCCACATCGGCGAGTTATCGAGGGGCTATGCCTTTGATGCGCTCGTGGCTGAACATTTTGGCCGTTTGGGAATTTCTGTGGGGCCTTCCTTCTTCTTTCCTTCCTCCTCCTCCTCCTCCTCTTCCTCCTCCTCCTCCCCCTCTCCCTCTTCTGCTTGTATATAAGAGACAGGACTTCCTTTGCCTTTCGCTGTTTTGCTCCTCGCCCGCGGAGGGTGGACAGCGGCGTGCGCCGTCGCCCGGCCGCTTGGCGTCTCGACGAGCGGCCGTCTCGGCGACGTCGGCCGCGCGCTGGCGGCGGAGCTGGACGCCCTCAGCGCGGGCAGCCTGCGACGGGTCGCGACCCGGGCTGCCACGGCGGAGGCGGCCAGGCTGGGCCTGCTGGAGGGCGGCCCCGGCGCCCGGCGCGGAGCGCTGCTTATGCGCGGGCGCGGCTTGCGCGGCGCCCTCGAAGGGGGCCCGGCCCCGAGCCCGCTCGGCTGCCGAGCGGGCTCGGACGCCGAGCGGGCTCGGAGTGGAGCCTCCAAGCTGGGACCATCGCTCGGGCCTCGGCGCCCGCTCGTTCCTGGCACCCTGGGAACGCTGTCGACAAGGCGTAGCTGGCTGTGAGGAAAGAACCCCTGGGGCCCCGAACGCCGCCGAGCAGCTCCGAAAACACTCGGACAAGTCTCAAACCCTTCCGGAGACATTCGAAGAGCTCCCGAGGCCTTCCGATGCCCTCCCGAAACCTATTGTGCTCCAGGCTCTCCGTCGAAAACCACCCGAACCCCCCGATCCCAGACATCCGATGGTTTCGTATTTCCTATATGGGAACCTACGAACGACCACCAATGCGGACAGCAGTCCTGGCCTACAAGAGGCCAGGTGAGTTTTCCATACGGGGTCCCTGGAAGTCCCGACCCGTTCCCCACGGCCGGTCTCTCGTCCCAGGTTTTTTTTCACAGTCCCAGGGCCCGGCAAGGCCCCGCGGAGGCCGAAAACGGCTAGACATGTTCCGTGGTGGGTTTTGTCACGACGAACGCGGCGACGGGTCCATGTACCTTGTGCCACAGCTTGGTCCCTGCGCGCAGGAGAGTTCGGTCGCACTCGTCTGTGAAGCTCTGGGTTTCGTAGCCTTTGGGGTAGCCATTCGCTGACCAACTGCCGTCGTAAAGAGAACCATGGGCCTTTGAGATGGTATAGCCCCGCCATCCCCGTCGGTAATTAGAGCGTGAATTACCTACCCCGCTTTCGCTTCCAGGCAAAACCAAGTCATACCACGCGCCTCCTCGTCAAGCGGCCTGACCAGTACAGGTCGTAGTTTGGCATCGCTTGGTATCTCTTGGAAGCGATGGTGGTCAGAAGCGAGGTAGGTTTGTTTGCTCCCTGGGTAAGCATCGCCCTGGGCCTGGTCCCGCGGCCGATCGCACAGCCATGCGCCGGAGGTGAAGTATCCGACTGGGTGCTATCCCCCATACCTCGTGTCCGTAAGTAGCTCGAGGTGCCCCGCCCGTCGTGAGGAGGCCCCTCGCGATCTTCGCAACGCTGGTGGCCATGCGTCGTAGCCGAAGGATCTTGCCTGCACGCTGTTTGGCTGTCTTATGTCTGGTGCTGGCTTTTTTGTCTGAGAGCGCCTACCCATGCCGCTGGCGTCGGCGCCCAGGTCGGCCATGCCCGCTTGGTGCTTACCAGGGAGCCCGCGCTGTGCTGACCTTTTCCAGATGCGTCTTCGTAGCTGAGGGTTCGAGGCGACAAGTGCTGGTTTCGTTGAACTGTTGAGGTTCCTGCTTGCTGCTCGTTTCATAAGCTCGTCCGCGAGCTCTGCCATCTGGTGTAGGACTAGCTCTTCAGGGCCCTCGACTCTGCCCACTGTGTCGTCGACGTACGTCCATAGCCCAGCAGTCTGCACACGTTTGTGGGCTGCGTCAGGAAGAGGGAACACATAGATCTTTTCAAATCTGGTGCCTTGAGCCGATCCTGCTACTATGGAGCAGGCCGGATCGATTCTTGGGACAATCCAATCGGCAAGCTTGAGGTGCCTCGGGCCAAAGAAAGCTTCTACTTTCAACGCCATGATAGT